ATTTCGTTTGTTCTGCAAAGAAACGATAAATTTGAGGTAAGATTAAATATTATGATGGATTTTTTTTTTTATGAAATCCATCCAGTGGTTGTCTGATAATGAGAACTGTTCTGAATTCTATCCAACTATCTGGGGAGGTGGCAGGTCATAGTATGTCTTCTCAGATATAATTTCTCACTGATTTGTCATGTAGGTTGGGCCTAATAAGCTTGTTGTAGGTTTTCTTAGACATGCTTTCTCACCAATCTGTCATATACTAGGCTGGGCTCAATAAAGGAACTGTTAGCTATTCTGTGAAATATTTAATGACCGCTGTGCCATTGACATATGTTTTACAGTTTGATGTCAGTGGGAAAAAAAATTGTAACACTTCCATGGGGTAAATTGTCTAAAAATATCAGCTCCAATTAAATTCACCGCTTGAACAAACAAAGCATGATCGTTACAGTACAAAAACACAGGACGTATGTTTATGAAGTTGAAGTTTCGTCCTTGATTGTTGCCTTGTCAATATAGCTTTGTAAATCTCCTAAAAACACTACGCCGCCAGCATGTCTGGGGGCTGGTACACACTAAAAGGTTACACATGATAAGGCCTATCAAGGCAGCCAAATATGCTGAAATACTACTCATTTCTTGTCTTATCATGTGATGCTACTATCTACTATAGTAATCAACACATGTGGCAACCAGAGAAAGCGACTATACATCATGTACCCTCAAACAAGATGCTTCTCACCCTGCATCTTAATGGTTCTACCCAGAATTTTCTTTTCATTTCGTTTATTACATACTACAAAATGATATTTTATAAATTTACTTTTTAAAATGTTCGCAATGTCTGAATAACTAGGTGTCGGTGATTGTGTATTCGTACATGAAGGATGTTTCCTGTGTCTGATTTTTCAAAGACCCTGGATATGAATGGTTCTAGGACACCCTTGGGATAAGCTTTGACGTAATCACACTAATATTTGTTTATTTTCCACATTAATCTTTAATGTCAGATCTCCCTCTGGGTGTGATTTAATTGACTGTTCTCTAGTTCCATCAGTATTGTGGAAGTCACTGAAATAGGTACTGTATTTGCTCTATTAGGGACGCATATAAACCTATTATTGCAATTATTTTCGGTCATAAAAATAAGTTTTTGCATTGACATATCTCTGAGGTTTACATACAAGTGTGTACTACTAGGGCGAATGCATTACAGTATTGGAAATATTGAAAGTGAGTTTTCCCGTATAGAAGCCAAACTGTCATTTGTGCTTTGTATTACAATGTTGCAATTTTAAAAACTTGTATTATATATGGTGAATGGCCAGAAATTACTGCGTATGTTTTTTTTTTTAAAATATCATGCTGGTTTGTATAATGTTTCTTTGACCTTTTTAGTAAAGAATGGGAGAATTCGCAGGTATATTTTATTTAGAGTTCTTCTGAGGGAACAACAAGTAGGTCAATGGATGTTGTTGGAGAATCAGAATTAAAGAGTGGTGATTATTGTATGTATGCAAGAGATATGGTTTCCATAATAACAAAGATGGTGACCTCGATTGTTGCTTAGATAATTGCGTACAAAAAGACGCTACCAAGGTTTTGCTAAATAATTCCTGAGATGATGGAACACATTAAAAGTCTGTATTTAGTGTGTATCATGACAAGATCAAAACTCTCATTCATGCTTGCTACTTGTAAGCGCACATTGGGTTGTGGGTTAAATGACTTTTTATCAACACAGATCTCACACATACGTCTTTTTAACCACCGTTAAAAAATTGCTTTGTATGTCATCATCATCATCATCATGCCTGACAAATCATGAGGGTGTGATGTGTAATAAACAATGTGTAAACCTGCACACTTTATGATATACTACATAAAGATATGAACGGTGCCAGGATTCCTACATGACATAAAATTTAGATTGACATGTGATTGGTATGAAGTATGTATTCTTATCAGGATCATGTGACTATGAAGGTAAACTTTAAAGTAGGTGATCAGTTTATAGTTTGTCAGTATCAGTACCATCAGTATGCAGTATGTGAAGAGTGTATAAAGCATTGCTGAATGACTACAGACTTATTCAATTGAGGTTAGTTTTCCCAGGCTTGCACTCGCGGATTTTTTTAATTGGTTTATGGTTGTGTAGATTTCATCAAGCTTGGTTGTGTGTTGCAGGTCTGTGCAACTCTGTGCAACTGCTTTTGAGGCGTTGTCAACATATCAAGTGCATACCTTACTTCACAAGTTTAAAAGTTAACTTGAGAAAGCTTGTATAATGAGTGGGGAAGGTAGATGGGTCAAAGTCATGGCAGTTGCAAGAGTTGTTTTGATAACTTGTTGGTAAATATCTGGAGGCATTATAGTCATGTGTTTCTTTACGACCGGGGTATACCAAGGTTAGCAGTCAACAGGGTAAGACCAAATTCTGCTGTGACTAGGTGATTAGTGCATTTCAGTGTTTCACAGGGGCTCCCTGCAAACACAACAGGTGTCGTAAATAAGCTTTTTCTGGAATGCCATATCAGTTTTAAATGTTCAAGGTCATCATCATCATCATCTTGTTCAATTCATTATTCTTAAATGTTGAATTCCGCTGTGCAAGTTTGACTTTTGTGTTGAAAACACCTGGTATATTTCACATTGTGCCCATTTGAACTTGCACTTCATGACTATGCCTGCCCGTGGCAGGTATTGGTGAAATGCTGGGTTTCAACTAGGACTCAAAATATATCTCCAAGAATCTCTACACTGATAAGAGCTTTGGACATCCATACATTCACAGGATAGGAAAATACCTGCTGCGACCTGGTTATCAGTACTCCAATAGGGTGTCCTTCCATTCCAGTGCGTACTACTTTATAGTTAGAACTACTTGTTCAGAGTACAGAGTCCTTGTCAGCGTTAAATATTATTCCATTGATTTATATAGTCACGTAATACGTCAGAATTCTTTCATAGCTAAGACTCGAAACTGTTTAAAAGAGCGTTTTTCTTCAGCATGACTATAAACAACCGATATAACTGTAAGCACAATGACTTGGTCCCTACTTTCCGAAACTGTGCACTTGACATACGCTTCTTTTCATGGACATAAATGTCTGTGTGATAGTAAGCACGTCGGCCACGATGATTGTGATGCATTCTTGATCTGTTACGGGCAACCCCTGTGACCTCCTTTAAACTTTGTAAACTTCCGAGAGTATGATGTCATATTAGATGAATGCTATCTATCAGTAGGTAGTTTCCCCAGCGTGACGGTATCACTCACCATATGTTCAATGCCCAGTGTGTACCACACATCATATTTTGGATACTCATCCTGTGCTGCACATCATGTGTTCAATACGTGCAATAAGGTATTTGAAGAAGTATTATTTTCACAACTGAGAATGAGTTTAAGAACTTATGTTGATTATGTGCTCATCAGTTTAGCTTGGTTCACATAGTCCATGTTCTAACACAGTCAAGTTCAGAAGTGTGAACTTGTAATCAAGATTCAAACAGATTATTACTGTCCAGTCTATATCATTGTTTTTTGTATCGAGAAATATTCAGATAAGTTGAAGGTGATCCATGGATGGAGTAACACAGCAGTCATTTATAGGGACTTTATCCCTGTACAAGTTTTCAAACTCTTGACTTTGAAGTTGTACTATTATTCATTGTTATCTAAAATCAAATTATGATTAGATAGGCAAGTTTATTCCCTTCTGTTCAATTGACCCACAGAATGGTGAACCACGTTTTTCATCGTTATGTTAATATTTGTTGTTCTTGGTAGTGAGGCCACTATGGCAAATAACGCTTTGACACTGGGGCAAACAATCAAACACACACTGTGAAATGTTATTCATAGCTGGCATTAGGCGGGAGGTATACACTTATCTCCCAAGAATCTGTGTATCAGTCAACTTCATTGCTATGACAGTTGTTTGATATTTACACTATGCACTGTGTTTTGGTGTAGTCATGGTGCCGGTCAAGTGTCCCTAATAGCTTCATTTATTTTCAGATCTTATGCATATTGTGCTGTACATATACGTCAATTTATGAGTCAATTTGGTGGCTGATCATTGCCAAGCTCATTCCAAGTGTTCCAGTTGTAGCGCCACGAATGCATACAAATATAAGGTTTCTAAGTTTAACTGCTATACCACCTCGGGCTTAGAACATTTACTACCCTTCAACATAATCTCAAAGACCTGGAAAGTCTTGAAATTAGTTTTTTGCTCATTAAATTGAGACTATTTATGGTTGCACGCTGTGAATGGGCAATTTACTGTGATTGCGAAAATACAGGAAATTTATTGTAATTATTCGTTTTTTTTTGATGTGGCTGAGTTACCTTGCAGGCTATATAGTGGGTAGTTGTTAGGTGTTTGTAACTCTGCTGTTGTACATATTGTTGCCCCGGTGAAATAGAGTTGATGTTGTGTTGTTGCGTGGTACTTGTAATTGGCTCACCTATTAACTTAGGCTGGTTTTGTATGGTGACCATGGTCTATTCAAAAGTCTGTTAATTGTAATTTTTAAAGATTTGTTCAGCAACACCTGGAATAATCTCAGTTCATCAAGCATTTGTGAGGGGGGGTGGGGGGTGGGGTAATAAGTCAGAATGTTTTGTTTTCTTATTGTTGCAACAGATGGAATTTTAGTTTATGATCCTAAAGGTAACTCACATTCATTGTGGAGGTCAAGTTTAAATTTGATTTAATCAAACAATATATTTCACTGTATTGTATCAAATGCTGTTGCCCTAATCGGTGAAGATGTGTACATTTAGTCCTTGACAATTCTGTGATCCCCATTTTTAAATGTTTTATATTAACCCCACTGAACATAGTATTCTCTCCTAGCAGCACTGAGTGACTCACCATCGCGTCAGAGGTTCTTATATTCAGGTGTATTCACCTATGTCCCATAATCCCCCCCCTATGTGCTGCTGGGATACTGTGTCTCCTATTTAGCGTTTATTTTATGTTTCTTTGCAGAAATTGAAGCAGCCGAGGCTAGTCAGTGGTTGAAGGCTGCAGGATTTCCGCAGTATGCTCAGATGTACGAAGGTAAGTTGTTTTATTACGTACATACACACTTCCTCTGTTCCTGTAGCAAGGTGATTCAGGAGGAAAATACTTCATATTCACCTAACTGGAAATACTACACAAGTGACGTCAGGCCGGGTCACCTGATATTTGTTTAACCTGTTCTTACTGGATCGGTGAAAATAACAACAATAGAATCCTTGGCTTTCGTTCTTTTTTTTGTTTCACTTCTCTTTCATTTACTTTCAACAACAGCAGTAACAACATTTTGGTATTATGTCTGAAATTTAAATATCCCCGAGTTGATATTACTGAATTTTATTCGGGTTGAAAATAGAGAAATAAACATGCTTACGTTACATATGCTGAGTTTTCTATTGCTATTGTTTCTCTGGCAAATCTATTACCGGGTAATTTAAACTCCTAAATGAAAATACATATTAAAATTGTGAAAGAGTATCTCAGAAAGAGTATTGCTTTCACAGTATTTCAGCAATAATTACATAATCTACAAACATTGCAACATGTTTATAAAAAAAATAACCAAATGATTTTTTTTTTCTATCCTCAGATTGTTTGTTTCCTATAGATATACATTCAGTAGAGACGGACCACGACTTTTTAGACCGTGATTCGATACACTCCTTATTCAGGTAAGGTATTGAAAACATACCACCCCCACCATAGAATGGAATAACCTGAGATCTCACTAAGTTCAGGAGTAGGCGGCTAGATTTATAAAGTAGGAGGCTAAAATGTGACACTTCTCTATAGGTTGCAAGTCTTAAAATTACAAAGTGGCAGTCTGAGCAAAACAAGTAGACAGCTATTTAGCCGGCAGTTGCCTCTTAACAATCACCCACATAAAAAGGTTGGTTTTAGTGAAATTTGCTTTTTTTACCAGTCATTCATCAAAACATTTGTTTGCTTTGACAGTTTTTTATCCCTGTTACATTAAATTATTAATTTTGTCGTAGAAAAAAAAAAGAAAAAGAAATATTGAATCAAGACAAATTACCTGTCTTGTTTTGGCACTGATATTTTTGATGATGGATTGAATATTTGGATTTATATTTGTAAGTTCTGACCTTGATATTATGGTTATATTTGATATTTTATTTGATACTTCCTGTTGCTCAGTTTATCGTTGTTGAGGACCGGTGTAATTTTTTTATGTACTGTAAAATACTTTATTTTTGCTTGGAATTAATTTTCACTGAAGGAATGATTCAGTGAAAATAAAACTTAGCGAATATACCTTTTTCCTATGTTTTGCATTCAACTCGTCAACAATCAGTAAAAATAAATTCCATACAAAACACCTAAAAAGTCTTTTCAGCGAAAATTAATTCCAGCTAAAATAAAGTATTTTGCAGTAATTAATCCAGTGTTCATTATCAACTATCTATTCATCTTTGTTAAATTGTCCACCATCACAAAAATAAGTTCTGTATTTCTGTTTGTGGTTTTTATTACAAAATTCATACCTACTTAGCATTAATGGTATAAACAAAATATTAGGCATGAAATATTTCAGCAGGTCAAGGGGCAAAAAATTAAAAACAATAAAATTACCACTGTTTACAATTTTGTAATTAGTAAAATTGGTGAAAATTCATCTCTCATGGAACTAAAACAAGTTTATAGTATTTGCATGTAATAAAGGCGCCCTAACTCTTCTGTGTTATTAGCATAGACCTAATAACGTACAAATATTTTTCAAATTTTGTTTACAACTTATGACATGTATGACTATTACTAAGAATGAAAAATCGGATGTTTTTCTAAATCTTTTATTTAAAAAAAAAATCGAATGAAACTAAAAACAAGATTTCCATTAAATCAAATGTTATGACGTATGTATAAAAAAAATCAATGGATTCTGGGAGGTATCTGGAATCGTACAATGACGCAATTTCCAATGAGAGTAAGATCTATGAAGAGTTTTGCCGAAAATCAATTAAATGCACATTTGACAACAGGAAACTGTTATTTAGGTACCATATAAACAAGTTTAATTCTATCGCAAATCGGATGTTGTTGGTTATCCAAGATGTACACAGATCTATTCTGTAGTCCCAGCAAAGTGAATGCTTCCTTATTGATCTGCTTTTACTGATTGATTGATGTACTGTTTTTCATACTCCACAGACGCCTGAATACACTCAACAAATGTGCCTCTATGAAGATTGAAACCATACCTAAGAAAACTGTAAGTTTGATGAAAACTTGTTGTTTGCTTGCTGTCTGTCTGTCCCCGTCCCTCAAAATACCTAACTTCGTGTCAGATTTGTTTGCATCATTTAGGCAAATTGTCAGTTATGATGAAGATTTTTATCAAATTTTTATTTCTCACAAAATTGAATTGATTCTAGCCTTGGAATTACAAATTTATATTACATGTAAAGAATAAAATAAAGAATGCAACGTTCTATGTATTCTCAGACTCATTATTAAATTTCCACAATCTGTTTAATTTGGTAGAGGGGCTCAATTGTCAGATTTTATGTAAAGTTTCATTTAAACACAAGTTATTGACAGCTTTTAAAATGGCTTAAATTGATGAAAAATTAAAGTGTCAGATGTGTTCGTATTGAGGAAATTAAAATATGAAATGTTTGTTGTATGAAACAAGTAATTCAACATAATGAATTCAAATTGAAAAGATGCCTGGTAAAACAAAAATGTTATCACGTCTTCGCATTATTTGGGGTCATAAATAAGTCAAATCAACAGTAGCGATAAATATAAAGTCATTTTGAAGTTGCCTTGTTGACTTAGTCAACCAGGGAGCTTCAAGTATTGACCCACTTCAAATACACCCCCCCCCATCTGCTGCCTTGTGTTACATTTATATTTAACTTAATAATTAAATTATAAATTTTGTACTATGCTAACAAATTAAGTATTAAGCGTGATGTTGCTACGTGCAAATAGATGATGAGGAAATGACGGGAATAGGAAATAAAATTTTCAATCATAACTCTCTTTTTGTTTTAGGGTGATGAATCAGACGACGATGATCAGTGCGCTTTAAGCCGAAAGTGGAAATTTCAACGCAGTAGTCGACGTTGGTCAAGGCGATTGAATCCATTAGAGGTGTTTATTTTAGAGAATTATACAAAGAGTGATATCTTGGACGGTTGTGATCAACTGCACTTGCAAGAGAGTGAGAAAGCATTATCTTTGGACAGTAACAGGAGTATGCTAACTGATAAATACGCTAATTCAAGTAGTATTGATAGTCCCGCCACTCGTCAGAAAAGTTATCGTATTCCTAACCCTGAAATCGACACGATGAAGCACAAAAAGAGCACAAAGAAGCAACCCACGATGGGTGATGTGACTACACCCAGGGAAGCAATTATTGAAATTTCCTCACCAATCCTTGTTCAGAAATTAACTCACAGGGACTTGGCAATGAACACTCACGAAAGAATGAAGGGAGCCAAGAGCTTGCTGAAGCGATTGGATAGCTTAAAAGGAAGAAAAAGCTCAAGTTTAAAGAAACGACCAGCCTTGAATTTGAAAGGTGGTATTAATATAAGCCAACCTATCTTGACAGCTAATAGTAACGTACAAGACAAAATTGAACTGTATAACTGCGTTGATTTGAATCCGAGGAAAGACGACGTAGTGCCACGTGACAAATCTATGACTTCACCGTCTGTTACTCGGAGGGTGAAAACTGATCATAATGCAGCTGATAGGAGCAAGCGTGGAGGGGTTGTCTTTTCTAACAATGAGAGCCTCAATATAGCTGATGTATGCGAAAAAATGGACACCAAGGAAAGTCCTAAAATACCTCCCAAATGCAGCCCAGCTTCTGGAAATAGACGCAACACTGAAATAAGTTACAGTAATGACAATGTATTTAGTGCCTTTGATGATCAAGAGTGTGGAACATTTCCGAGACTGCTCTCGAATGGATACATTGAGACAGGCACTGGCAGTAGAATCAACACACGTACAGGTAGCTTCAATTTCGGCAGTGATTCTTGCCATGACAATACTTTTTTTCCAAGACCGCGACGACGGCGACGCAACTCAGAAGATGATAGTGCCTTACGTAGTAGCGTTTATGATAACGTGGCATTCCATGGCAGTCTTGACAGCATGGCTTATACAGATATTGGCTTAGATGAGATTGAGGAGCAGCTACGTCAGGAGATTAACAATTTATCAAACTTGGACAACTGCAACTCAACCAGCATGCCTGCGATGACAGAGCATGTTCCCGAGCTACAAAAATATGGATTGTCTAGAAATACTAGCATTGCTAGTATGTCTTCGAACGATTTGGAAACTGAAAAGCAGGATATATTAAATAATATCAGCCAATTGTTGATGACTGATTATCTGCAAGACGAACCAAGCAACAATAATAGCCAGGATAAAAGCGATACAGTATCTATGAAATCATACGACACGTGGCATGATGAGGAGGTTACAGAAGACATCAGTGCAATCAGTGCAGAGGTAGAGGCAATACTGAACGGGATTAACGAAAATTTGTGTCAGTTGACGGAAATTAACATGGACGAAACATATATTGGTAAGACAATGTTTTTTGCTTTTCTAAATAACTTCAAGAATTTAAACAATTGTGTGCCTAGCATTTTAACAAGTATAATTCTTCATGCTAGAATTAAATCCTTATATTGTTTTATATTTTTTTTTATTGAATTTTAAATTCTAAATCTTGAAAATAATTAGGCCTTGAACACAAAAGTTACTTATGTGTAATACATAACATTCATCAGGAAAATGACATGGGCCTTTAATTGGAAAAAAAATTACGTGGACCGTTAATTGGAAGGAAAATGACATGGGCCTTTAATTGGAAGAAAAATTACGTGGACCGTTAATTGGAAGGAAAATGCATGGGCCTTTAATTGGAAGAAAAATTACGTGGACCATTAATTGGAAGGAAAATGACATGGGCCTTTAATTGGAAGGCTCAATGTTAATCTACATTAATCTACTGTGTCCATGGCTCCTCAGTGTTAGTTATTCTGCTTGTCTAGATGTTAATCATGTTGTGGTTCATGTGACAAATGTCAGTGCCGAGGTGTGCCGGACGGGTTTAAGAGTGCAGAGGTGTGCCTGGCAGGTTCAGTGTGCTTAGGTGGGAGTGTTGACATTTCACTGGTTTTTTGGGTGTTTTCGTATTTGTTAAGTTCTTCTTGAGAATCAATCTGACATCATCACCTGCTTTCCGTTAAACTTGAAAGTACGAAAGATTGCGACACCTGAAAACTGAACCCTTGTTTGTATAGCATCCCTACAGTAGCCTACTCTTTAGTGTTTACACAGATAAAGGCCATCGTCATAGCAATCCAAGGTTTTATAATAATTAGAGTATGTAACGGTGTGATATGCGATGTAGATTTCATGCGAATTGTAAAAGTCATGCAAAATGAGAGATGTTCACAAATTGACAAGAAAAACTCAACATTTCTAGAAAGCCTAATGCTAATGCAAGTCTGTGTGAAAGAACTGATTTGTGTTCTTCCCAAACTGTTTAGTGCCCTTGTTTATTTGCAAAGCGTGTGATCAGTGTGTTTTGCGTTTTTTATTGCGGTGAAAATCTCGCCTGTGACGCTACTGGTTAGAACTACGTTTGATTGACGCACACAGAATGTATCGCTTTCAAGCATTCAAAAATCGCAAGAGTTATCTTCTTGTGAGATTTCTATGACGTATCACCATACATAGTTGTGAAAATGACATACCCCCTTATTTTATAAATCCTTTGATGCCACACATATTGCCTTGTGATATATGCGAATAGTATCAATGCAATAAATAATGGTTTTTTTTACACACTTTGTTTATTTACTCTTAGTTAAACAGGGTAGCCCTGGTAAGCTGCAAGCGGTGCTACGGGGGTCCCTGTAAATTATGTACATACAAAACATTAAAAATACATTAAATTACATACAGTACGGTAACTAATATACAATAGCAATAAATAACTCGGTTAAAAGCCGTTTGTATAATTTACGTTTATGAAAACATTAATAGTCGTTTATGTTATTTCCTAACTTGTATATATCAGACATGATGTGGTGTAATGATTGCACCACTTCAATACTAACAATATTGATTAGTGTATTTCCTGGGAAGACAGACAAGGCCTTTAATTGATATTTACTGTTTACAGGGGATGACAGCTCAGTGACATCACCCATTCCATCGCCTACTCCCGATACCACCCCTGAAATACCATCTAAGAAGATACACCTTCAGATTGACACAGATGCCGGAATCAGCGGTAACTCTTCCTGTCAGGATACGAGTGAAATTGACACAGCAGGTTCAATGGAAGATCTAACAGGAGTCATGGAAGTCCATGAGAGACGAGACTCTGGCGTGGGAAGCTCATTGTCAAGGTCTGTCAGGTAGATATTGTTGTTCACTTTACCTGTTATTTACCCTCCTACTCTCCCCAGAGGCGTTTGTTTGAAAGTCATGGAAGCTTAGAGCTAAATTACTGAGCAAGGACATTGTGACATTGTGTACGTGATGATCATGGTTTAAATAAAATAACAAGAACATGTTTTTTTGTGTTTTTTTTAATATTGTTAAGTGCAACTGGTGAGCGTAGGAGTTAATTATAGTATCAGTTCTCAAATAAAAGTGACGTTTTATTTTCTATTAAAAGAGATATACATAGATATATATAAATATATATATATATATAAATAAACTTAAGCATTATAAATAAAAGCTGTAAATGTTGTCTTGGTAAATTAATTCTTAGAAACACGTAACACGTAGCTTGGAAGCAGTTGGTGTATCATTGGGGTGTCGTCAACTAATCTTCTTGTTTTCATTTGTATGCTTGGTATTTTTATCAGCTACCTGTCTCTTGATAGATATGTAGATAGGGGATGCTGTACATTACAGCTCTGACGTACTCGCATTGGAAAACATGCATGTTTATGCTGCTTCAATCAAAGTGTACAATATTTATGCGTTTTTTTGTTCTAATAGCTATCAAACGTAGCGACTTTATCCCAAATTGATATGTAAATTCAATGTATTCATGCATAATAATAGCAATAGTGCTTGTGCATGACCCCCAACAAATTTGAGGGGGAGGGGGGTACAAATTTACTTTCAATGAGAATTATGAGTGATATAGTAATTGTATTTTGTTTTGCTCACCAGAGCTGTATCTCATATAACATGCATGTTATTTTTTTTTCATCCAATTGATTTTTGTCATTTATAATTGTCAGATAATTAACTCGTTAATAGCCATTCACAGTGATTACATCATCAATATTAAGAAAAACATATATGTAATCTGATCCACTTTGTAAAATAATTTTAATTATTTACAGTAATAATTGTTATTGAAATGAGACAAAATTGGTTTGCTATTATCACCTAATATTGATCCTAAATTTGCTGTTGTTTTCGTTTTTGTCACAAGGTCAGGGTGGTGTCTGATAATTAAATAAACATTGACAATTTGAAAACTGATTGAATTTGCAAGATGTTCTTCTTTTTAGCAAAATAGCAACGGTGCACCGAAATGAGTTCAAGAAAAACAACTGTAGCCGTGTAGATTAGTAATCTAATTATGTGCATATATACTGATTTAGTTGTTATTCCTAATCAAGTGTCATATTTATCTACCTTTCGGCAGCAGAAGACCTCGTATTCGCTGGCACAGTTTCTCCAAATCACACAGACCGAGTCTCAATTCAAGGTGAGTGTGTTTACACTGCTGGGGCTCTCTCTGCTTCACTGTAATGTTATTATGTTAATTATTCAACGTCACACACCACCTGCTTTCCATATAAGGGGCTGATCTACCTACAAGCTAGATATGCTAATGAGTGTAATAATGAATATGCTAATGAGCTCAGCACATATAGATTACTTGTCCATTGTAGTGCGTATGAAAGCAAATTAAAACGATATATAATTTTTTTTTTTTTAAATTCAGTATTAATATATACATTTTTCAATTATTAAATTTCAATACCGTTGAATAGAAATTTTTAGTTGGATTTAATATTTATTTTATTTAAAAATATTAATGTGGCTAAAGATGATGTAATTTATTTACATAGAAATTAGCTTCATTAAATAATGCCTTCTTACAATGAAATGTTAAATTATGAATGATGATGATATTTACGTGACAGTTCGGTGTGTTTTTATGTTAAGTAGATTGAGTGAATATTCAATATAAAGCCTGTGACGGCTACACCCACGCTCTCTGTTACTAACAATAGGTACACATCGACCTATTGAAATAGACTGTGTGTCGCACACACCATTTCAGATCTCCTATCTACTGCCTTGCTGAACACACCAATGCTACCATGACAGTGACTAGTTCTCTCATGTCTACCCCTAACCAGTCATCTTCATCCATCATGGTTCCGTTAGATTTCCACTCTGTCACTGCGTATGTATATTTATTGTGGTTATCATGTGCCTGATATTTTACATTATTTTTTATGTTGTTGGGGGAACTGATAAGAGGCGGTATTGCCAAATTTAGCAGTCACATTACATTGTCTTGCTTTAAGCGACACGTGAGTTTGTTTTTTATAAAATGTGTTACTTACTATCTCATTCAGTCTTCTCAACATGGAAGGTCTCACACTTCGTCTGTATACTATTTGCGTTTTTTTTGTTTTGTTTTTTTATAGGCCATTCCAGATTCATAATCTGTCTGCTGGACAAATTATGGTGCTACGAAAACTCTCTCTCTTGAAGCTTACCGCTATGATGGAACGATACTCGATATCCAACAGATCATGGTCGGGGTGGATAAAGTAAGTAGCTTTGGTTTGTTTTCTGTCTACATCCATGACATATTCATTTACAGAATTGTGCATCAATTAGCAATTAATATGTTCCAGTTAATTAAGTGTAGTTTTGAAACTAGCAGACCAATGACGTATTTTTTTTTTTGAGTTAAGCCTATTATTTGGTGAGTGAACTGGTTGTAATTCAGTGAGAGGTGTCCTTATTGGCTGTCTAGATTTCATTCATATTTTTGTTCCCATATACGGTACCAGTAGTGACTGAAATCACAAAACCATATAATCGGATGACAACGTCACAGATGGTTTCTCTATTTTTAGACTCAAAATTTTACAACAAAAAATTCAATTTCCTGAAAGTTACAGTATCAATTAACCTTTCTGTTTATTCTATTTGGTTTTGAATAAAAAATGTGAATTGACGCAGTTCAACTAATTTCTGTTCGTAATACGAATAAACTGTCTCTACTTGTAATGGTTTTCTATTACCTACATGGATTGTAATGTTGTTTTAGATTAATTTCATTTAATGATACACAATCCCTGCTGAACTTTTACAACTGTAATAAAATTCCTGTTTTAATTTGTTTTGCAATATCTCAATAAAATGAAATAATATTCCCATGCCGAGTACATGCAATATGACCCCAATTCACCCTGCTGTCATCTGTTTCATTTTTAGTAAGAGTAATTTTTTTTTAATTATTATTTGGGCCATAATAAAATAAAAATTTTCTTGTTGAAAGTTTAATCACAGTTTGGAAGGATTTTCATTGTGTAAGATTTTGATTTATTGTAAAAATGATTCAACCTTAATCATATCATTTATGATTAGCTATTTCTTTTTTGTGTCTCGTGAGACATTCATACTAATACGTGTCTTCGAATGTATTTTAGCGGAATAATAACAGCAATGTTGTGATTTATTGCAGAGTGATGCCTCGCTTCATGCGAAGAATGAAAGCGCCTGATTATAAGGACAGAGCTGTATTTGGCGTACCCCTCAGTGTTACGTTACAACGTACTGGACAACCACTGCCACAGACAATACTTCATGCGATGAGGTATCTCAGGAAAACCGCTCCAGATGCGTTAGGAATATTCCGCAAACCCGGGGTCAGGACGCGTATCCAGCAACTGAGGAATGTTAGTGAGAGTAACCCAGGTAATTATATGCTAAAACTTTTAATGGAGGAAAACCATGCATTTGGTATCTTTGAATATTTCATTTTGGATTTGTGAAATTTTGTCTCTTAAATGCCTTGAAATTCATCAACTCGCAAAAATTGAAAATAAAACAAATTACAGCTATTCTTCATTTTTTTTAGTATAATAATTGAAATTTTTTGATTTGCCTGGGGCACTGGAATTTCTTTGAATAATAATCACTTAACATTAAAGCTTAATAACCATAAACAAGACCCCTAAATGTCAGACAAACAATTTTTCATATTTTTGGTCAGTTAAAAATGTGTTTGTAACAGTTTCTTCTAAAAAATAAATTTTTGAAATTCGAACAATAGAAGCACACTTTAAAAAAATAAAGAAAGGCACATATTGATTTTTGAAAAAAACAAAATGACCAGAATTTTGTTGGTGGTACCTGAAATGCCTATTGTTACCATTTGAAGTATTATGTATTTTAAATATTACTATGACTCTCACCTATATTTTGTGATTCCACATTTTAGATGAAGTTGACTACGAAGGTGTGATGGCCTATGATGTAGCCGATATGCTAAAGCAATATTTCCGTGAGTTACCTGAGCCGCTATTAACGAGTAAATTGTCCGAGACTTTCATAACCATTCATACAGGTGAGTACATTAGCGAACAAAAAATTTACTACATTCTCGCCAAAATATTGAGATGAAAATAATTTTTATTTTACCGAATACATTTCTGGTTGTTTTAGTACAAAAAATTGTATACGACAAAGTCTCTTAGTTACCTTAGAAAAAAATGAATTTTCTGAATTTCTGAATAATAATTTATTGTCACAGAACCAAAATAAAAGCTATTTTACCATCAGTGATGTGTAGATTCCTGGAACTTATTGTAAAATTTGTATTTGCACCCCACAGCCATGCCGAAAGACATACGTCTGCAAGCCATGCAGGCCTCTATTATGTTGATGCCAGATGAAAACATTGAAGTGCTGCAGTCATTGCTTTTATTTCTTAGTGATATAGCTGAACATTCAGACACAAATCAGGTAAATAACCTTTCTTTAGTCTACGCATCAATATGCCCACCGGAGTTGTCTTCATAATGATAAAAGATAGTCACATGAGTGGATGAATTCATACAGAATTCAACGTAGTATTCTAAATATAATGTTAAGAATCATATGCATAAATATTGAGAATACAGCTGTTTTTCAACCTTTAATGAACCATGTTTTTTGTGTGGTTTTTTTGATAACGTTTTGATAGCAGTTTTTAAGCATTCGTGGAATAATATCTTGCTGGGGGGTTAGATCATTTAAATACATGAACATGTATCCAGTTCTGAGGTGAGAGTGTATGCATACTTAGATACACTTCATTTTGATGATTCACAATAATCAAATAAATGTCAGCCGGATGTTTAGTTTGCATCTAAATTTATCGTTTTTTATCTTCACCAAATCTATTTTTAACTCTTTGATAAGAAACCGTACGTTTGAGTTTACATGTGATGATGATTTGAAGATTAATTCTTTATTGTGTTTTATTATTAGATGACAGCCCATAATTTAGCAGTTTGCTTTGCTCCATCATTGTTTCACATGAGCGGGCCACGTTCCGGTTCAAGCCCACAAAGACGTCGACGTGCAAACCTTGGAAAGCCAGACCAGAAAGAATTGAGCGATAATATCGCCGCTCATGAATGCTTAGCAACAATGATTAAAGAAGTCAAAAAGCTATTTGTGGTGAGTAATTTTCTAAACGCTAATACATGAATTTGATGATTTATTCCGCATTCTCTGCTAGATAGTAAGCCATTTGATTGCCAAAATGAAATTTTCACAAAATAAACCCATTTTCATTTAATTTCATTTTTCTTCTTCAAAAATCCGATCAAGACCTGTAGCGAAAACGGAAATTATTGAAAAAAAAAAAATATATATTAAAATGTTGTACTAAAATTTTGGTGGGTAAAATTATATTTTCAAAAAATGTGTAACAAAATCTGAAAACGAAAATTGTAGGTATGTGAAAAAAAGAAATAGAAGGTTGTGCACAAATCTCTTGGTGAGTCATGTTGACTTGGCTATAAATTCAGTGTCTAATGTGTTCAGCAACGGTACAGTTAAACCCTGGTAATATAGCCAGCTTAATTTGGTTACCTTCTCTGAAGATTAAGACTAATCAGGAAGCCTTAAAAACTGAAAAGGCAACCTATCATTGACAAATTAAATCAAAAAAACCTTTCTAGCATCGAGGGTACGAGCTATTTTAAGACTGCAATTAATCTGAAAGCTTTTTTTTTCATCTTGTGGAAATTTAGATCGACGTGAAATCTTCTCTTTTTTGTGTGTGATATCGTGCTGTTTTGAGGATGGAAAGTAGCTGGATTGTTATTTTCTTGTAATGTTGATTAATATTTTGTTGGTTTGTTTTAGATTCCTGAAGAGACAATGATGAAGTGTCATTTCTCTTACATGGAGCTGGGAGAGCCTGTCTCTGTAAATGAGCTAGGATCTAAAAAGGAAGATGATAACAATGCTGACTACAAGAGCTACATTGAGTCCTGTGTTCAGGGGCTCCTTAAGGTGAATTTAAATGTCTTTCTATTCTTAGAACTATTTCTGTATTTGTTCGTTTCATCTCAGTTTACCATTCACTGTCAATTTTTCATGTATTTGCCTTTTGTTCTCGTCTCGCGTGGGTGCCATAAATCGTCTCACGGAAATCCTAGCAGGGTACTGGATAATTACATTGTATAGCTCTGCTGCCTTCAAAAGATACAATATCTGCTTTCACTCTCTTTGTCTCGTGGTTTGCGTGGTTTTTCTTTTCAATATCATTCTATTATTAAATTTTCTACAGTCAAATTTTGATTTTGTCTTCAATCTCATGCTATTTTATTATCTTGATGTATGGGTGATTTGTCCTCTGCACTATGTCTCCAGGGAATTGTCAGTCTTGTCATTTGTGTCTATTTTTAGATTCTTTGAGTACTTGATCTGACTTGATAAATTGTCTCAATCACAGTTCATTACATTTCATATAAGAATGAATTTCTCAGACAGTGATAAAGGTTACTAAAGTGCCAAATGAATTCCTCTCTGAAATTTGTGAAATTTACTAATTACTAAAAAAAAAAATTATTTTATCTTGTGATGGATTTATTTTAAATAGATTTTATGTTGATTATTATAGGAGGCGAGAGAGAAATTCAAAGGCTGGGTATCGTGTCCGCCAATGGAAAACGGTACTGAGTTGGCGTACAAGAAAGTGGGGGATGGTCATCCGCTGAGGCTTTGGAAGTGTACAGTGGAGGTAGAAGCCCCACCGACTGAGCTGCTTCATAGGATATTACGAGAAAGGTGAGTCGTATCTGCTACATTATTAAAACACATACTGTTCCTGTTTTTGACAGGTCAAATTGCTAGATTGGTGAAATGAACAACGTTTTACCATGTGCTTCTTTTATTAGAGGCTTTGTGTTATAAAAACAAGACTTGATTTCAAGAAGAAAAAAAACTTTCACTATTTGAGATTTTTAAACTAATGTACCTGTATTCCATTTCAACTAATTACAATTTTTTTTTGAATTTCACAGGCATCTTTGGGATGATGACTTTGTTAAGTGGAGGATAGTGGAGAAACTCGACCAACAAACAGAAGTATTGCAGTATGTTAGTAACTCAATGGCGCCACATCCGAGTCGTGACTACTGTACTCTCAGAAGCTGGAGAGCGGATCTACCAAGGGGAGCTTGTGTTCTTGTGTCTACATCGGTTGAGCATCCCGATGCCTCTCTTATAGGTGGAATTCGGGGAACTATATTAGCATCGAGATTTTTAATTGAACCTTGTGGTGCTGGGAAGTCAAGATTGACGCATATATGCCGACTCGATACCAGGTTAGTTTTATTTGTGACAATAGTATCCAAAATACATATTTGCTCTATTTGTAGTGCATGTGCTTACATAAATGGCAGGCATGTCATTACATGTCAAATTTCAATATGCTGTCATGCAATAAATAAAATTATTGCTTTATTTAATTTTGCTTCATATGAGAATTGGGCTATTAATAAAACAAATAAAGTTAATATGTTTTTCAGTTCTTGTCATTGAGTAAATGTTGATGAGGTAAAATAAGACAAATTTTCCACAATTGGTTTTAATGTCATTTGTGAGTTATATTTAGCTAGTTTTATAATATGTACTTAAAAAAATGGGAGTCGTTCATACTAGGTGGCCGCATTAAATGACGTCAATAAATAGGCTAAGTGTGGGTGGATTCATGTTTTGACGTCACCAACTAAGTCAATTATTACTTTCCCTGGTTCAGATTTTCTTTTTAATCAATTAAAAATATTTTGAAATATAAAACCCAATTTAGTTTTGACTATTTTTTTGCGGGGGGTAGATCTGTAGGCTTGATTTGCTATTCATGAATTCTGCATACTTGTTTTAGTATTGCGCTGTGGTATAACGTTAATATTTTTTTTTTTGTGTTCGCAGGGGTCGAAGTGTTGAATGGTACAACAAAGTATTTGGACACATGAGAGCCAATCTGATTGGCAAGCTGAGGGATTCTTTCAAGCATAATAGTACAGATGGACCTGAAACCAAAGTTTAATTGCGTTGCTAAAAGACAATAACCAAAGTGCCTCAAAAGACAAACCCAGAATTCGTTGATTTGTGTGAAATATGGATTTATACCATTGTACAATATCACAGAATGAACTTTGACAACTGTGATGAACATCATAAAGATATATTAGTGTCATCGCTTTGAATCAAAGTCACCCACCGAGATGTGCTTCTGATAGTGCAAATACGGTATTAACCTGAGACATAAGGCTGCATATCGGACTTCTGAAAAACTGATATGAAACATCGTCAACTCTGTAATCTGTCAAGAAATCAGTGAACTTAAGACAATCAGTGACAGAGTTCTCAATCTATATTACCACTGGGAATTAAATCCAAAGAGTGGTCAGACTGTAATATAATGAAGACTTATGAAACCAAGAAAAACATGAATTGTTTTATTTACAAAGTTGTATGTTAAAAATATATTATTATTTTTATAAGTACTGTAATGTCAGCTGTGGGAATTACACTTGATAACTTAGACTTGAAGAAAGTCTTGTAGATTCGTGAGTGTTTTATTCATTGAGCGTCAGTAAATTTTTCTTTACTCAGAGCAACAGCATTATTATGTAGCAGCTTATGTATTCTCTGTTCAGGGATTCAGTTGAAGTGAGAAATACAAGTTGTTGCATATTTATTACTGTACACATCATTTCTGTTAAATTATATAAAAAGAAACACAGAAATACTGTTTCCCTTTAATATTTATGCCCACACCCCACCCATAGTGGTGTTATTCGGAATCAAAACATTTTTTTATTATTATGTAACTGCTATATACCAGGAAATTTATTTGGTGTGTGTGTGTACTGACGAGATTCTATGGTTCCGGTTCCAGGAGTGATTGTATTTCTGGTGATAATTTTGACATACCAACTAACATATGAATTTGTTGGTTCATTCTTGGTGCTCTTTTGTGTGGGTGTGGTAACTTAGTTGCCAGTATATGCTTTTTTTTTTTAATTTGCATAATACTTGATGACTATACACATGGCTGTCCTGAATTTCTGTACTTTTTAACCTAAGTTTCTGCGACACGAAGATCTTTAATAGAAGCTGATCTCATTTGTTATCATTTATATTTTATTTTATTAATGACCTGCGACATCTTCCTGTCCATAGTATTTTAGCACTTCTGTAACGAATAGCCGGCCTATCCCTAGTATTAAACTAACTTGGTGAATCGGTATTGACTCCGCTCCCTGCTACCGGGCCAGGTAGAACAAGTTTTAATTGTGCCAAAGATATTGTAATAAAAATGAAAAAAAAGAAAAACATATTTATTTTCTACAGTAACAAAAAATTGTTAATATTTATTTTATAGTTATTTTTTCTCAAAGATATATATACCAAATCAATGTTGTTTTGTTTCCTCCCAGGTATGGTTATTCTACACAGCAGAATATATCCAATATATTTCTGATATTAACGCTGTAATTCTAAAATCATGGTAAACTATTTTGCATTGTATTACTGGCCTTATAACACAGACTCAATGTCACAACAAATTTATTACCCCCCCATAGGGACATTGTGCTATACGTACTCTTGTCGTGTGGTACCACACGTACAACATGTGGTAACTAGGGGCATATGACATTGTCTTCTGTCATTACTAATCGGTGACAATTATGCAAATGTCTGTTTAAAATGAATACGTGGTCCTCTGCCGAGCTTTATAGCCACAATCGAGAAGTATTCATGTGTAGAAACCTTCATTTTTTTGTTACACTTTTTAATATGTTCAGGTACAAAACATGTTTTTGTTTGTTTTGAAAAAACCCGTTTTCGGTGCTTTTGTTTTGAAAGCAAGTGAGCATGGCTAATATTTTTTGTATAAAACCCAAGCGAAAATTGGTGTTACTGTTTTAACTTATCCACCTCGTTATCTATTCCAGTGTTTATGTACACCATGGTAATTGAAAATAAATACAGTATAAACTTGTTATAAAATTTGTTGTATGGTTCATGTTCTTCTCGTTTGAAAGTTGAGGTACCCATTTAAGGGAAGACTTAGCGACTTACCTGTAGAATTAGTCAAAGTACGTACAACTGAGGTTTATGACCAACAAAAACTAGCTCTGTTACTTCACGTTTTCCTTTGAACACAACTTCAGGTGATTCTTGTGTAAAATTTGTTACATCTTAGTAAGTTGGCAATGCGTCAGCAAGTTTGATGTACAGACATAAAAATCACACTAAAACTAAGGATATTGCTTTTATTTGCTTTGATTGAAGACTTGCTTCTATAGAAAAATAAGTCAGTTATGGCTTTTTCTCCACCCTTCTCACAATTAAATGTGTACACAACTGCAATCAACGAACACCATTGGTGTTAGAAATTTAGATATACTGATAGTATAAAATGAAGCAAATGTGGGTTTTATCATTTATTAGTTTCTGCTAATTACTACACCCACTCTCCCCAGGCAGCTTGTAAACTGATTTTGATAGGGGTTCTTTGCCACTAGAGGGCGCTCATTCTGTAAGATAGCCACCCTCTTCCCATAATAATTTCCCTCCAGATTTATGATACCAAATTCGATATTTGTCTGATTCAGATATCTAAAAAACGAATTATTGCAAGTAATTGGCAGAAACTAGTAAAACTTGAATTGTTCAGTTTTTTTAATACGCAAGAGCACCACAAGTGTCAGGATACAATAATTCATTTTAATACTTCATAAAAGGGCGCCATCAGTGTTAGGATATTGAAACACATTTTACTAAAAAAATTTGTAATCATCTAGTGTTGGTGAAACAAACATATCTGAATGGGAAATAACACATTTTTATACTGCTTTTTAGGTACACTACCTTTTTTTGCAGGCAAAATTTTTTTAGAAAATACTGTAACGGCAAAGTGACTGGGAAATTGGTATTTTATTTCTGAGCTTCTGTTATTAGGCCAAAGTACCTAACATTGTACATGCAGTAAGGCAACCATATTGATGAGGGGAGAATTTGAGCAAATAACATGAGTGCTCCTATTCAGCAATAACTGCATTTGTATCATCCACAAAAAATCAGAAATACATTTTGACTGGTACATCAGAAATGAACTACATATTACTTTGATTATATTATTTGTAATTATTACAAATTTATTATCACACATACCAGAAATAAGATGAAGAGAATACATCAGAATTAGACAACAAAAAAACAGGTTAGGAACTGCTGAAAAAAAAAAACAATGCACGTAGACAGAAATTTATGAAAACAAAACTCAAATGATCATATCTCAATTTGGTTTGAAAAATAGAACTTTACAGAATCTCATTAAATTTAGTACAACAAATTTGAGAGAGGAAACATAAGTGTGAGGAGGTAGGTATGGAAAAGAAACTGAATTCAGCATTGGTATGTTTGTATTAGGATGTAAAAGGTGAAAACAGAAAGATAAATAAATTAAAGTTCTTTGGTCTATACTATGAGGTAAAAACATAACTGAGATACAATGTTAAAACTAAACAAAAATTACTTTAAAGATGCAATACAGACAAGAACGTGTAGCATTATTTGTTGTTACTGTATATTGATAGACTGGACTATGATTTATCACAAACTGAAAACATTGTTTTTGTAGAACATGCTTGAGTACTGATTCGATGAAACGATTTTCTTCGATGCACGTGCACTGATTGTTTTGGTACGTACAATAACAATCACTGCAAGTGCATAAAAATGGTTTTGTGTTCTGCAAACGCCACAGTTTTAGTTTAAATAAATCACAATCGACTTGGTCTACAGCATGGAGTACCTAACAATAATATCTAAAATGTTTTAAATGACATGTTTTTGTCCATATTACATCTTTAGTTCATTAAACACGAGCAACTACTTTAAAATGTTTTTAATAATAATTTGACTTATCCTGCAACAATGAAGGTGACATTTTCAGAATAGCTTGTATGTTTTATTAGATCATTACTGCTAATGGATGTAGTTTTGGGTTTCCTGGTTGCTATGTTACTGAGAATGCTTGTGTCAATTATGTGATACAAATGGTGGTTGAATTTCAGAATTTCATGGCTGGCTTTCCTCAGTCTTGGAACATTACACCAGATTACATCAAATCAACAGAAATCTCTCACACACGTGAGATTGGGACGCAAAACCCTATAAGGGATCTCACGCATTTTTCTTTTTCACGTGAGAACGCACTAAAAAACAACCATTCTCACGCACCTGAGATTGGGACGCAAAACCCTATAAGGGATCTCACGCATTTTTCACGTGAGAACGCACTTAGAAAACATCATTCTCATGCACTTTCTGTTCACGTGAGAACGCACTTAAAAAAACATCATTCTCACGCATTTTCTGTTCACGTGGGAACGCACTAAAAACAATCATTCTCACACATTTTCTGTTTACGTGAGAACGCACTAAAAACAACCATTCTCACGCATGTTCACGCATTTATCTTTGTCACCCTTGAAGTGTACTGTGTTACGTGAGAACACGCGTAAAAACACCCATTCTCACGCGCACACGTGAGTTTGGCCGATTTCCAGTCTAACTCGCGTACGTGAGAATTACGTGAGCTTGGTCATTTTTTGGCATTTTAAATACCTGACCAGGACCATAATAATATCAGTTCCATATCACACATAGTAACATAGCAACTAAAAACTCCACAAAAATATATAGAGAAGCCAAATAAATAAATATAATAAATGAACCTGTAATAAAATTAGAAAAAGCAAATTAAAAATAATACGGGTACTGAAAATTGTTATATTATTGTAATGCTGATATGGTATAGATGCTCGATTGTCACTTAGGTATTTGTAAGGTATTGTAGAATACTTTATTTTCGCTGGAATTAATTTTCGCGGAAAAGGCTTTTCGGGCATATTGTATGGAATTTATTTTCACTGATTTTTAATGAGTTTAATGTGAAATATAGAAAAAAAAAGTATATTCGCTGGATTTTATTTTCACGAAATCATTCCTTCAGCGAAAATGGCGAAAATAAATTTCAATCGAAAATAAAGTATTCTACAGTATGGGTCACATTAAATGATTCCTGGGTAGTTTCCTGTTACCATTGTATAGCTTTGCTTTTGAAACAAATAATCAACCTAAAGCACAGTACATTTATGCTCACTGAAGACCACACAGACTGAAATTATCCAGTTTTAAGCCTCATACTAATATTCTCAGCACTGGTCTGTGGGTCAAGCGCTTCTGTCAATGTTTTGAAAGTACGCATATTATAACAATACTAAACTGGCAGCACTACAGCTCCCTTTGGATCAAAAGATGGGCAGGTAATCAGCGTTACTGTTGAGCCCTCATACATGTATGTGTTGGTAAGAGGAAGACAATACATCAATGATGGACAAAGTTTAAAGCTTCAATAACAACAATATGGCAGTTACGAGTATACATATTCGTTTTCCGTTGTTATTTCAAAGGTTTTACTATGGAGCTATAAACAAGAGCTCCATGGTTTTACCATGCAGCATCACTAGTCTCCACTGATCACTTTTGCCTACAAGGAGGTTGTTCAATTGCTGTAACTTTTCAAAAAGGAAAATGATATCGTGTAACCCAGCATTCAATTAATTAGACCAAATATTTAAAATATAGTCGGTGATAAGTTGCCGAACTAATTTTCATAAACAATTAATAAAGATAAAGACAAATAATAGATAAAATAAATAGGGTTAAATGTAGAAATATTAAAAGTTACTACTATACTATATAATATATACTGCTGATAGTTTTTGCATATTATTTTTACATGCTTTTTAAAAAAAAAAAAATCTTTCCTGCTGAAAAATAACAAGATTATTTGTACATTTAAATTACAAAATACATTGACAATGTAATTCTTTCATCAGCGATATTGATGGTGTCATTAGGTGAAGTAATAATAGCACACAAATAATGATTATTGGTTAAAATGTAAAGTCTCTTGAATTTTGTTTGGGTTTTCACCAAAAAGGAACAGTATCTGAACACTGATGAACAAAATTTGAAAATAATAATTGAACTTTATGTTAAACCCACAATAAAAACCATAAATTAATATATTAAGGAAATGCAGAACTTTAAACGAAAAATTGATAAAATTTGTTTTGCACCCCCAGCTCAGAAAAATTAAATCTCTCTGTAAAACTGTCTGCTTTGCACATTTATACCATAAAGTGAACATGTCATGCTCATGCTTAGGCAGTCAACCACCCCTCCATCTCATTTAAACCTGTAAATATTACAAAAGATGGGCTAAACCATTATGAAGAAATGGAAACAGAGGGGGGTGTAACTTATAGTCCATTTATTTATCTGTCATGGATAGAAATATTCCAAACAAATTGCAAGTTTAAATACAATGGTTGGGATCTTGATGTTTAAGAATGGTAGAACGTATTTGTTCACCAGTTCCAATCAAGTTATGATATATACACTGTTAGCCAAGAAACAAGATACACCCAAGTGTTACTATTATAAGTCAATTGATATGACATATTACCAGTACATACATACATACATGCATGTTAGATGGTTCGTGTACTGTCTACCCCTGGCAATATGTGTGTATATTTAATATATTGAGCAATGTAATTCATGAGTTTAGTGACTTGGTGATGCCTGGATTGAATATTTCATTGGTAAATCTAGCATTTTATTTTGCAAACAGAATTTTTTGGCATTTAGGTTAAAAGTAGAGTAAAGTTTCTTGATAAAGCTTAATGCTAGATGCAATACATACTCACAGATTAAGGTGCCACATTTGTTGTGCGAAATGCTTTCAATTTTCATGTAATCAAACAATGTATTTTACATGTGTTATATTTGTTGCATGGGATCTTTGATACTGCGTGACGACTGGGAAGCTTTCAAAAACAGAAACTTCTCATAAAAATGCATAAAAACAGATACTTAATGGCAGTATAAAGTTGATTAGAAGTCAACTTTCATGAAAATAATTCTCATTCTCAGTAACTTCTCCATACCATAACAGTAGTATATTAACAATGAATTGTGTACACTGAAGCTATGATACTCCAGATTAGAGAAGGCTTCTCTCATCTATACAGCAGTGTTCTCCGATGTATTCCTTAAATGTACATCTACTTGAGTGGAATTGCTTTTACACCATTATATTTCCTTTGCCATAGCCATTTTTTGTCTATATCGCAGTCTCTTTCATTATATTTGGCACTCGACTCCCTTTTGCACTTTTAATAGGCTGCAGATTCTTCGGTGGTGGCCTACTACCATCTTCTTTATCTCCTATTTTTAAATCTGATGCAAGAGCATCTTCCAGGTGTTGGCGTGATGGCGTTGACGGCCTTGATGGCCAATTAGGTTGTCTGATATCAGTTCTTTGATCAGTGTCTATTTTAGAATGCTGACTATACTGCTGTTGCAGGGGTTGTTGCTCGTAAGAGTTTTTACGCTGTATTTGAGTATGGAATTGGGAAGTACTATGTTGGTTTGGTATGTATGGTAGTTGCTTAGTTGAGGGCTGTAAGGGTTGTAATCGGCCACCAGTACCTATGTACATACTCTGTAAAATAGAAGTAAATGCAGTTACACATTCCATGGAAACAACCGCTGCCTTGTCTTGGTGCTAGGTGACAGTTATGAGTGGTAAATAGTGAAAGTGTGAGCTATGAATAATGCACTTATATAATTAGCTATTGCATGACCTGGCACACCACAAGACTAAGAATGTTTTTTCCATACATGAGTTGACCTGTAACTGTGTTCTTTGACCTGACAAGTCAAGCTGATTATTAACCAATCAGAATATTCAATAGTGCCAACATGTTCAAATTACTCATTAGCATATGTTAATGAAGGTAAACATTGTATTTCTGAATGGATGTCAATGACCACAATAATCTATTTTGCACTATTTTGATTTAGGCACCAAGAAATATTGCCAAAAATGACACTTAAATTTTTATTTATGGTATAATTAATTAAACTCAAAATAAAAATGGACTGACACTCCCTGAGCTAATATGTGGTTTTGCTGCTATACATGTTTGTGTCTTGAAAAGTAATTATGTTTACAAGTAACAGACAGGCCTGTTGGGCCAGCATGTTCTAAAACTTGTCAGCATCCTGTCAAGTTGTAGGTTCCGAGTCTGAGGTTGCCTTAAATTCAACTAAACACAGCCTTTAGGGTGATACCATTCAGGTGCTTGATATGATTCAAGAGTTAGATTACAAGGGTCTTGCCCAAGTTCACCTATCTGAGAAAGACATGTGATTACCTTTTCTGAGGTAGGAGTTTGAGATAATTTGCGTAGTGGTTTAGGTTGTCTATAGTCCATGTTTCTGTCCCATTCCCTTGCGGGTCTAGCTTGGCTTGTACCATAGACTGCCTTCTGTAATGCTAATCTATCGCTCACATCAGGGCCCATCAGGAACTACAAAATAAAGAAAATATAGTTGTAAAAACATCAATCATAAGAAAAGAATCCAAGATACCAAATAAACAGGTTAAAAATGATAAACTTGTTCCCAAAATCACAAAAATATTCACCAAAAATAAAAATAAAAATAAAGTCGCAACATGAAGTAATGTGATTCAAGCAGTGTACTTCCCTAAAGTGCTTGCCTCTCCGGTGGACACAGCCCAAATTAACCACATTTCATACTCACTTGTTGAGCTTTCTTTTTCTTTTTCTTCTTGGCTACTTGGCTCAGCTTCCAATGACTTGATTCAACCTGAATATTACTATCCCTATCTCTCAATTCTGTATTTGGTCTCCACGGAGCATTTTGGTCCTGAGCATTAACCCATGTTGTACTACCACTGTTGTATTTTCCATAGCCAGTCTGTGTCATGTGTACTGGCGTTTGCGTCATTAGTATACTGGAAGACTCTTTTTGTATTGTGAAATCTGGAAATACCAAAACAATTATGAAATCAAAATGCAACTTGACATGCAAGTAGACAAACAGCACCCTCTGTAGGCAACATGAAAAAGGTATTCACACTAAAGAGCGCCCTCTTTTGGCAGATTAATATTTTAACCACTTATACGTGAACATGTATTCATAATATAAAAGGCATCACTATAGCAAACAGATCTACATGGCAGTGATGAGATTGGAACATGGAATTCTATACTTTTAGCACATTGTTTTTTTATTATCATATAAGTGTTTCAGAGTTGATGTTTTCTAGTTTTTAAAATGTTGGTTTGTTTATTGTTCTGTTCTGATTCTCAATTTGATTTTACACTCAATTTTGACAGATAAAATAGAATAGAAGCTTGTGAAAAACTGGAAACAGTAGTAATCAACTACACATTATTATGGATGTCAAATAAAATACAAGTCACCCTTAATACATGTGAATTGATTACACTGTAAGTAATAAAAAAATATGTATATTTGGTACACAGGTTGATGCTCACTGTAGACTAGGAAAAGGCTCTATACTGTTATAGTCTGTGATGCCAACTGCTGTGCTAACTTCCAGTGTATGACCACCATGATTATAGACATTTGCATGTTTATTTAGATACAGTTTGCTACATTTATGGAATATATTAAGCAGCAGTTTTAAAACCTTTATTGAACACAACACACTTTAATTATTAATTTAAATATTAATAGAAGAACAAAGGTTTGTACTGAAAATTATTAACACCAACAAATGAGTACATAGATGTGTAGAACCCTTGCTTACCTGGACCTGGTGTTTGCGCTGGGGTGATAGCCCTACCATGAATGTCTGTCAGTAATGTAAAATGGATGAAAGAAGAGAAAGAATAAAGTGTTGATACATGTGCTATAACAGAGAGATGAACATTATTGAATGAATGAAGAAAATAACAACACCCAAAGTTAGCAATCTAGTCTAGTATTTATTGGTTGTGTATACAACTGGATATTGTTGTGATTTCAAAGATGAATAGTTTATGCTGTTCATGTTATTACTTTCTATAAAAATACACTAAATATGTAGTCATGTGACCAAGAAGACATCACTACATTACAGTAAGTTAAACTTTTATCATGTTTCTATTCCAGGGGTTTCACAAATGTATTTAATAGCAGGCCATCATCCTATAACAGGTCAAAACAAAATAAAAAGGCTCTTGGCAGTGCAAAGCGCTACAGCGAGACAGACGTAGGCGGTCGAGGGCCAGAAAGTAGATGGCCAATATGGGCTTGTAGCAGGCCATATGGCCGGAGACTGGCTCTTAACGAAACCCCTGCTATTCCATGTAAAAATACACCAAATATGTTTTTTTTTTTGTAAAAATGGTTCTATTAAATTTGTGTCTAGGTTTACTACATAACTTTTCTTTAATAAGTATAATAACATTCATCACAGTAATTTCTTACCAAATCTTAGCAAATAGCAGATAGAGAATGTAGTGAAATGGTAGAAGAGGTTGAGGAAGGGTTGACACATATGCCAGGCTTTAATACAGAAAGTCTATATAGACATATATATGTTTACTCCAGTATGCTTGTTATAGGAATATAGTACATCAACACAAATGTACACATAATGATAATGAAATAATCAAGATAAATGACTCTCATAGAGCACGATAAGCCATATGTCTCCATGAAGTCTGTGTTTATTTGGCTCACTAATTTGAGGAATTGATGTTGAATTAAAGCCATTTAAAGTTAACATCCATCATGATAAAATACAACAGCCAGCCAAATTAGATCGGTTCAATAAACAAGTTATGGTATTCATATACAATGTTTTGGTTTGGTACAAACTTTGAACAAAATGCTTCATCAGAAAATTTGCAGAGACACAAAAATAAAACAAAATGATGTGCATCAGTTTCACCATCTGTGATCTTCATACTAAGAATATTAAGTATGAGTTCTATGTGATATAGTGGCGTTCAATATGGGTTTCACATAGGCACTCATGTTCGATATGGGTCCCATGATACATATACACCACAGGTAAAATACATTGTTTATTTACACCAAATTTGAATGCATGCTGCATTGTGACCACTACCCTTCAACTAACATTAGGCAGAGTAATTTAGGCTGTGAGAATTAAAGTAAATATATAAACATATAATTATAGCATAGGCGTACCATTATACTGACTTTTAGCTCGTTTCTCTCTTGGTAATGTAGCAATCTGTCCAGGTCCAATACCATACATGACCTTTTCTGCATAGGTTTGTTTATCTGTATGTAGCCCTCTATCACGTTCCCTGTCTTTGTAGTACTTATCTTTCATTTTCATACTTGAATCTTCTTTTGGAGTCTATCAAATGTGAAATTAATGACACCGAGTTGATAAGGAGCAATAGGGCATAGAGTTCCACTTAAAATGCAGAAATGATTGTTGGATAGGTCATTTTGGTGAAAAAATCATGTATTTATGTTATTTTTGTTTTTTCATTCACTTCAAAGATCAGTATTTCTATTTTCTTGGTGACATGGACTGAAACAAATTGTATTTATTCTCTTGAAAGAGCACCACCCATAAGCACACAAAAACATTAAATTTATTGTAAAGTGAATCATCAAAACATTTTATTTTGACCATGGACACACATCTGTAATTTACTAATTGAGTTATTAAAATGAATTGTATTATTATTAATAAATCTTGACAACAAATTGTCATTCAACAGGTAGATATGCAGCTGAAAATCACATACATACTTAATATTCAGTTGTAGTGTGTCTTTTAATGCTCTAAATTTGAATCTACTTAGTCGTATAAACCTTATACAGTAGTAAAGAGTTACAGTCTGCTGCTCTTCAATGTGCGCAGCATTACAGAGACATGAAAATATTTATGTCCAAAATAGGTCTCATTTCAATAATTTCAGTATTAAAACAGATTTATCTGTGTTTCTATATTCAAGATGTGCTTCTAATCAGTTTACTGGGGTAATATAATTATTTAAGCATTTATCAAAATTTAATATGTTGACTATTGGTACTGTGACTTCAAATCATGTCTTTGTAATCATTGGAATTAGGGAAGAAAACATTAAAATATTGAGGCTAACAGCTACAAATCCCAAGCTGATAAGATTACAGCACAATATAAGCAGTAAGCTTTGATGAATTCCACTATAACTGCGATATACTGAGAGAAAAATCACATTATGTGTATTTTTGCGTCCATTAATGAAAAGATACTGACTGAAGATTAGAAGTAGATTAAAGATTACCTACCATTTCAGAGTCGTGAATTTCACTTCTTAAACCCTGTGCTACTGGCAGTTTTGTTCTTTGCTGAATTTCAATATTGTCTTTACTTTTCTTTTTGAATACACTGGATTTCACCCGCCTAACATCCGTCTCCATTGGAGCCCCAGCCATGAACTAGAAAAATACAAATATGTCACATATTACTAGTACTCAAGGTAGAAGCTGACTTATAATGAACTAATCCTAAATTTGTTCAAATGTATTACTGTTGTACACTGATCTAACAAGAATTTTTCCATGAAACAAGTTGGATCACCAAACTACGGGTATACAACCTTTTCTCAGTTCTAGAACCATTTTGTCATTGTTTGACATTTCTTAATATCTCAAAATCGTCTCAAGCAGTTTATTGATCTACTGAAAATAAAACTAAGTAACCATAAAACATCGAAGCGTGTGAACTATGGGCATCGATTTATTATTTCACTATGGAGTTGAGCATGATTCAAGATGGTGCCATACACAACTTGTGTTGCCACTGATCAAGAGGGAAAGAAACTGATCTGTCATTAACATATTCAAATGAGCTATGGTAGTTTGATCACGTTGGCACTGACTATCTCACATTCTGATTGGTTAATTAGTGACTTGGCCTGATGGCTATCGTATCACATCAAGCGTTTACAAAAGACTTAAAACATTCGCTTACGATGAAACTAAGCTGAATTTTACTTGCATTTCATAACAATCCAACAAATTTTACGGTAATACACACATTTAAAAAAACATTGAAAAAATATTCAAACATATCGACCACTTCGGAAACATATTTTCTTTATTTATTCAATCAATTCGGCCACCCCAAAAATATTTATTTTAACATGGCCGAAAAAATTCAGTTTTTACGGCATATATAAAGAGACACTTCCGGTACTATATATTTTGGAATTTTGCAAGCAAGGCTAAAAAGCACACACAGGCTTCCCTCAGAAGTATTCTGAATAAATAAATGTCTGTAGATGCAATTTCACAAACCACAAGTAGTTTGATTATGGAAACATTACTAAGTTAAACTGAAGAAGAGTATAGGGAACTGCATAGTTACATGTTATTAATAGTATATTACCTTAACATTCCTCCTGTCTGGTGGTGGACTGCCAGCATGTTTACTCCTGGTATCAGCACATTCTATATTCTCAATATCATCATTCATATGTGAATTTATATCACTGTCTCTAGGTGATGTGCTATCACCTTGTGGAAATTTCCTCCCAACTCTATCAGTCATAAACTCAGTTTCAACTGAATGCTGTCTAGGCACTATTTCAATTGTAGTTCTTGAGGGGGCACGTTTCCTATCATCTATATGTTTACTATAATGACTGTTTTCCATGCCACTCTCTGCACCATCAGAAAAGTTTACTCCATAGTATTTGACCTCTGGGAAGTTATTCCCATACTGCTTTGCGTCTGAAGTCCAATAATGTTTGGTATCAGAATTCCCATGCTTTGTGCTGTTTGAATTCACATCATATTGTTTATTATCAACGCTACACACCGATAAATGTTTATCACTTTTACTATATTTTATAAACGGCGTATGTTTTCCTGACTGCGTATATTCCTGTGGGATAGTGCCATTGGCAGACATATCCACTAACTGTCCATTGTCTCCATTCATCATTTCATGCATCGGAGGTCCAGTAGGTGGTCTCGGAAATCCAGATCTTGGTGTACTACTCTCACTCCTAGTGATAAACGACAAGTTACCATGACTACAGACATCACATATACATGTGTAATGAGTTAAATGTACCCCCCCAACAGAGCTGAACAAAATCCCACTAATTTATTAATGATTATTAAACTTAATAGGTAATAGAATCACTGATTACACAGCAAAACAATAGAAATGGAAAACAGAGTAAGCCAACAAAAGAAATACTGAAGTTATATATAATGAAAATCAAGCTAATATAAATATAGTTAGCATGATCACCAGGAAGTATGCTGACATTATCAATAAAATGGAAAGTAATCACCACCAAAATACGCATTATAATATATTCAGATGAATTAAGCACACAGAAATACATGATGCTGAAATAATGAAATTCATTGTAAGTACCGGTAACCCTCAAACTCAGGAAGCTGTAATGGTCTTGTAGATTACATGTATTTCTAATATTAATCATATTTTTGTGGAAATACAGTTTTTAAGATTTTTTTAGTTACTGTATTCACACTATTATGGCTAAAATAAGTCACATTTTAATGATATAGCATACAATAAATGCAATCTTCTGCAATACAATACTGAATTTTCTAAAATGATGAGAAAATATGAAAATATGAGCGAAACTGAAAATCTGATGGTATTGCAATTGTAAATAGATAGCCATGGCGCATAGAAATTCAAAAAAAAAATACTCACTTAGAATCGACCACTGATGCAGCATGTTTCCTTACAGATTTCATCATTGCAGCTCCTCCACGACATATAAGCCTCTCAGTTTCAAACGCTTTATGATCTAAACATTGTTGTATTGTAAACCTCTCTGACGGATCCATCCTCAAAGTATTCTGCACAACAAAACAAAATGTTAATACGAGTTTAAATGCACATTTGATTCTGGACCGTCTGGCTAACACGTCACCAGTAATAATAACTTTAATGCCTCCTTTATTTTAATATTGGGTTAATAATTGTACATTTGGTTATAGCGAAAAGTGATACTTTGTGAAACTAACAATGGTAAATATATTTGGATTTGGTTACAGCAAAGCATGCCACATTCACCAGCAATGGATAAGCCTAATTCTGATAAAATGACCACAGACCCCCACAGAAAGGTAAATTAAACAAAACACTTCTCATATACAGTGTCTGTTACAGTAGCATATTTTTACATAAAACGATAAAATGATTTTTCATAATGCTATCTACATCTTGTTTGCAATGTCAACAAGATGACAATTGGTAAAGTAAAACAAAGTATCAGCATCAGTTAAAACTAAAAACAAGCCTAGTGGATGACATTTACTTTGGAAACTGATGGTGGTCAAAAAGCTGACATTGTTCAAATATTACCCAATGACATTTGTAACCATATCTGGCTGTGTATAAATTTTTTTATTCATAAATAATTAGTAAAAATGTAACACTACATCATAAATACCTAAATGTATACCAGATATATTAAAAATTTATCTACAAACTTCACATATATACTTACTTTCATGAAATCCAACACAACAGCATTCAAGACACCAAAGTATTTTCTTTCTAAAGTCTGAAAATTACTGACATCTGGAAACTGAAAGAGAGTACGTTGACAGATTAAGAGACAAACAAACCAAAAATTCTCATATTTCGAAAAAGTAATTTAGTTATTAATTTTATAATTCAGCATGATGATTAACTTTCTAATTTGAATTTGTAAAATAATAACCAAGCAAGCCAAACAAGGATAATTTTTAATTTGCCCTGGGTTAATATTAGCGTGAATCAGCTATTTTGGTTTCCAACAAAACCTAAAAGAAGTTCATTAATAATGATTACAGTCATCAATCACAAGCAAACACATATACACATAGTTTTATTATTCACCTGTTTAGATAACAGAATGGTTGTCATGGATACTACAGATAATCTGCAAACATGAAATGCATTAATTTCTGATGATTTATGGTTGGAAACAGGCTGAAGTGTTTATAACCTCACACTGACTGTCGTTATCTACAATCCACTGTATTTTGAGTAGTTCTTTACATTTATTGATGGCTCTCCTCTCCATTAGGGCAAGGAATGTGATATACACATGTACAGATGCTAATTTAATATTCAGTTTTGAAGACAGTGATGTGCACTTTAATCTCCAGTACATGTTTAGGCTTCTAAAATAGCAATAATATTCTAATCATAATGCATGCTGTCAAGAAATCTCCTTTTTGGGACATTTTAAAACATGTATACAGTACTTTAAGTGCATATATTACCATACTGGATAGAGGCATGTCAATAGTCCAAATAAATGGTGTATTATACATCTGTCACAGTAACACCATAAGTTACAGCGTGTTGTAATTTTGCAGTATTGCACTGGGTATTTTCATCCTACCATATTAGGAAATGGGAATTCCAAATATGGAATGATTACATGCGTAAGCATTCTCTAATAATAAAAACAAATATGACAGCCCCCAAGGTTTGACCAGACCCCATACAAAAAAGTTTGTACAATCTGTTCTTAACTTTTTCAATTTCGGCATTCCCATTATGTATCCTTGGGAGGAAAAGATGTATAATAATAAGATTATCATTATTAGACAGTATGCAGTCCCATCGACCTCCACTGGGACTCTGTCGATACTCTTACTGTACTGTCTTCGTGCATACATCCTCATAATAACCTCATACTATAAGCATCCAGCATACAATTTTAGGTTTATATGTGTAAATATTGGGGATGTAATTCTAATAGTAAAGTGCTTCTAATAGTTCAAAGTAAATTTGTGAGAATCTCAAAAATGAGGTAGTAATAATCTTAACAAATTGTTTTTTTTAAATACAAATTCATAAACTATTACAATGTAGTTTACAATGTGTTAAATAACTTGTACACAAATTAGACATTTTATACAAAAAAGGTTTTTCTATCAGAGATTTTCCCTTCTGCTGCTATGTAGCAGTTTCTACAAAATGAGACGATCTAGACAAGCCCTGCTGGGCTTCATATATCAAATACAGATTATATATCTTACTAACATAGCGGTATATCCAGTGGTTTATTTTAACTCATTATGCACATTTTCAAGACTACCCTTTGAACATCAACCTTTGTCACCAGTCATACAATAAAACCATATTTTTGTTTTTCTTATTGTTAATAATAAGAAAACATTTAATCCCAAATTATCAAAAAAATACCCAGAAATAGGCAAAATATTGCATCAACATAAAATACTACGTGGTTGGGCTGAGTTATTAAAAGGGTACCATATGCTCGTCATATTGCTGCCACAAACATCACAAAATCACTTTGAAAAGAATGAGTATATACCTTCTGTTACCATCATGTATACGCAAATTACTTTACTATATTAAATAGACGCCTGGTAAAAAAATACACTGGACTTTCAACCAACAGAAATATACCTAATCAATAACCATATGTCAGATGAATCACCACTATCATGATAGTGCAAGTCATAGCAAATATAGATATAGACCTTTTCAAATTACAGACGCTTATAATACCAGAACATTTTTTTTTAAATGACCTTTCTCAGAGAGTAGTTGTACATGCATATAGCCATATAATTAAAAATACAAACAGCAAAAACGCCAAGGAAAAGACGGTTTCAATATGTGACTTACTTTAAGACCTGAGAACCTTGGATTATTTCTAAACATGTCCATCTGATCTGGAGGAAGTGGTCCCATCACTTTCTGTATTGTATATAACTGATCAATTTCACTCTCACCAGGAAACAGTGGTTGGCCATCACTGAGTTCACCAAGAATGCATCCTATTGACCAGATGTCAACAGGTTTACCATACGCAGAACTAAAACAATCAGATATTAGATTATCAGACACTAAAGTGATATTCTTGGATAATTACCGGTAGTTTGTTATATATACAGCTAGTACATGTGTGGATTCTTGCATGTAGTATGTGTAACATGTGTAAACGAGCCCTGATGTGATTTCAACATTTTGAGGTCATCTTGAGTGAAACTGCACATATAAAAACATATACACAGGACCTGCAGGCATCACGATACAAAGCGATTTCAGAATTTTGAGGTCAACTACAGTACACATTAAACTGCACATATGAAAGAATATACACAGAAGACGCCCTGCCACTTAAAGCAAAAGGATGTAAGTTTGGTACAAAATCAATAGGAAACATTGTTGCTGACATATACATATATCATCCAATAATAGCGTCTTTTGCCTTTTCCAAAGGATATTTTGTGTTTACATTCATCTTTAATAGTCTATCCGTATCTCTATATTTATTTATTTGAAGACTTAAAGCATTTGATGAGCAATAAAAGTCTGTTATTGCTCCATACTGCAAAATCAGTATTCACAATTTAATAGATGCATATTTTCCATAGTTTTTATTATCACTTGAGAAATGTCCCTGTTTTAATGTAGATATTCCACAGGTGATAAGATAAGCTAGCCCACTTACCCAAGTAATAACTCTGGTGACCTGTACCACCTTGTTGCAACATAGTCAGTGTAATTTGCATTGCCACTACCAGTCAGATTCCTTGCAAAACCTGCAAAATGAGTTAAAATTAACAAATATATTAATATTCTACATACACATGATGCTAGCCAGATTATAGTATTATGGTATATCCATGTACTATATAAAAGATGGGGTTTGAGTGATTTTTTTTAATTTTGATTATTTTCATTTCTTTTCCTTTTCGGCCTCAGATTTCTCATCAATACAGCGATAATACGATAATACAGCTGTGCAGTTGAGTATCAATATTGATTAAAATTCAGCATTTTTTAAATCCCACTACACAAACATTAGGTGTGTATTGCTTTGTGAGCATGGCATGTGTACACAGCCGGAGTCATGGAATACATGCATAAATTTGAATAAAAGGTGGTAAACCACCTCCGCAGCGATGCACCGCTAGTTTGATTTCCTACTCTAGGAGTTGCGATTAAAAAATGGAATTCAATAAAAATGCACATTCCTAATTCCTTCTAATGGAGGAAATTCTGGAAACAAGAAGTCAATTGCACTTGCTAGGTTATGCAATAAGTGCCACTACAACCATATACAAAATTGGACAGCGTGAAAGTAGACAAATAAATGCTCCATTGAATCTTCAAGAATCTGTTTCCTTTTTGAACATAAAACAAGCAGCCTATCGGCTGAGATAGCTCCGCTGTTAGAAATGCACATTTCAATTAAAAAACTGAAGACATCATCAGAAAATGAACAATATGTATAGTATCAAAGCAATCTGACTTACAGTTTTTAACAAGAAGTGGAAAATATCACTTTCTACCAAAAATGACTAAAATATTCACCAGAATTAGAGAATCCAAGATATCATCACGAAATGAACAAATCTGAGAAAGGTCTACATGTAGTATCTAAATATGTAATATCAAAGCAATTGAACTATTGGTTTTTAATAAGAAGTCGAAAATATCACTTTTTACCAAAAATTACAAAAATATTCACGAAAATTAGAGAATTGAAGACATCATCACAAAATGAACAAATCTGAGAGAGGTCCACATGTAGTACCTA